AAATGTAGGTTTGTCTAAAGCTTTGAAACAACAGCAACAAAAATCTAGCCTGGAAAAATAGCAGAAGCTGATATCAATATACGCTTGATATCAGCAGAGAATCATCTGTCACATTTGACTATATGACTATTGCCATAGCCATTCTTTCATTATCTTCATGGCTGAGGAAAAAAATAGATGAGGCATGAAGATTTGTTGCAGGGATGGGCAGAAGGCTGATCAAGATCTCTTGGTAGACCCTTTGATTTCTAAGGAATCGGTAGTGATTTGCAACTTGCTGTTCCCTAACAATAGTTACAAAAAGGCCTCCCTCTCCACTGCAAATGAAGCCACTGAAATCTAGGAATGTGGCAGAAGGGTTTGTGAAAGGATTTCTGTGTGTACTGTACTCTGGTTCTGATGCAGCCTCTGAGTTCCACTTTCCGCCTACCCCCTGCAACACCTCTGAGCTGATTATGCAGTCAGGGCACTTTGCTCTGCAGTTTTGTATCTCTTCTCTTCAGGGACTGTTTTGCATCGCTCCCCAGTTGGTGGATGGTATAAAGAAGATTTTGTACAGATAAAGTCTGTCCTTTTGTCCCTCGTATGTTCGATATGATTCTAATGACATCACTATTCCAGAATTTCAAAAAGTTACTTCATGAGTGCAAGTTCCAGGTATCTAATGATTAGAAATAAGGTTATTTTGTAGCTGAACAATAGAAGCTAGCTGTATCTCACTGGCATCGCACAAAGTGTGTTGACAGCATGCATTAAATTAATAACAAACCGCCTGGTTTTAATGCTATACATGTTTTGGCTTTTAATGTAAAGGGTAATTCAAAGTCCCAAACTGGTTTTTCTTTTTTATAAATTCACTCCGAGAATGCAAGAACCATAAAGGATTTTTAGTGATATGCATAGAGCTCTGGTTCCAGCAGAAAACTGGCTCCTTTGCCTTGGATGCTGAACTGAGTTTAATAGAATTTTGATGAGATGATGGATGTTGTAATTTATTCCAAGCCTGTATGCTAAATTAACAAGACTGTCTGTTTCGTTTTGTCTTTCAAAAGCAAACTGGGATGAGTTGCAACTAATTCTCCCATACAAAATATGATTAGCAACATAAACCAAGATCTTATTTTAAAAACTGAAGTTGCTTAAAATATAATAATCTAATTGAATTCTGTGGATATGATTGTATTTGATCCTTGTATATGATCCTTGCTCAATGGAGTTCAATGGGACACATTACTATTGGAATTTTTTTGTTTCATAAAATCAATTACATATTTTAAAGCAGAAATCAAAAGTAAATTTGAAGGTAAGTAGTTTCAAACTATTAACTGACACAAAAGTATTCAAAAGGATTTTTTATTTAGATTTTTAGTTAAGGTTCTAAGATGGCTGAAATCCAGTATGAGTTGCAACTAGAGTAGGCCCACTGAATTAGTAGGAATGTACTGAGTCAACACTCATGTAAGTTCCACTGATTTAATGGGCCTACTCTAGTTACTACTGGATCGCAGCTGAGGGCTATTTCTTATAGAAATGCTGCAATTGTCAATATCATTCGGAATAAATCATGGTGATGCCAATCAATTGTAAGAGATCTCAATATGAAAGTCTGCTATTGCAATCACTATCAAACAGTGTGTACTCCCTAGACCCACCCACCTCCTGTGCATGCATACAACCCACTATTTCTGGGATGTTCTGTTCAATACAGTTGATACATGTGTCTTCAGGATCGTCTACATTTGAAAGTGGGGGCGGGGTACTCCTGTAGTATTGAAACAGTACCAAGTGAGTAAAGATTAACTTTAGGCATGGGTCATGAGGGGTTACCTGAGAACCAAAGCTTGGAAAATAAGTTTAAGGAATTCAATTACATTTCTCATTACATTTTTGGCAAACAGCTTGCCCTTGTCATTATCATTGCTCCACTGGCAAAAGTAATTTGGTATCCTTTGCTAATTTTTGTTGTTGTCTTGTATGTGGACACAAAAATATTGGGAAACACCCTCCATCCCCCCCATACCCAAACCGGATACTGTGTCTTGAAAATGCTTACAATAAAATATATGCTTTGCTTGCTATTTAGCATTGATACAAGAATGGAATAAAACTTGAACAATTCCTATCAAAATGCCTTTGAAAATTCCTATCAAAGGCTTTCAAATTCCTATCAAAATGCTTATCAAAGTGTCCAAAATTCAACCCTTCAATTTAAAGACATGCTTACTAGAAACACACATTGTAAAGACTGTTTCCTCCAACATAAAACATTTCTGTTCATTCTGTATTAGAATCTGCTGGAAGCCATATTAAAAGTATTTGATGTCTTTCTCAGACCTCTGGATATTTCAAATCCATTAACTCTATTTGTGGTTTATTGTCCTGTCATGGAATTGCTGGCAATATTTCAGTTTGAATCTGTGTAAAAATATAAAACGAAAACCATCTCCAAACATTTAAAACATCATCACACTCTGTCTAGAAACCAATCAAATGAACTGAGCACTGTGAGGATAACATTTAGGACCAAAGAGATCATAGCTGAAATATATTGATATTGAATAATTAAAAAACAACTTCCCAATTTAATATAAAACAAAACAAATATCAGCTATATCCAGCAAGATACAAGACATGAATATTTTAGAGTGGTTTCTGATAGGTACTGTATGCTGTTTGTGTTGGGTTTCATATATTTTAATTCCATTTTAATTATTTTGCCCTTTTATTGTATTTTAAATGCTGTAAGCCGCCCAGAGACCTTCGGGTAGTGTGGGCGGCATATAAGTTAAATAAATAAATAAATAAAATGGCTTTAGTACATTCCTTGCCTAGGAATTGAACAAAGGAATATATTTTGATGGTGATTAACAGCCAGAAAATTGTTAAATTTAAGACACTGCGTTACAAATTTATCTCCAGCATGATCATTTCTGTGAATCCAAAGCAGACTGAAGATGCCAAATAGGACTAACAAGGTTTGGCCTCTTTAAGAATGTGTTTATTTGGGTTTTTCTAGGCTATATATAGAATATATATTGACCAAAACTAGAAGTTTTTGAACATTAAAAGTGCCTCCACCCTTCCCAAGGCTCTCAAACTCTTCCCATGTCAAAAAGATTTCCTAGGGAGCCTTGGAACCTGGACATGGGAATGGGATAGGAAACTCTTAACTGAAGAAAAAAGGCTGCAAGTGCTGAAGTGATGAGCCCTTTATACACGCAGAGCTAAGCAGATAGGATTCTGGACATACTTGCCATATCAGAAACTGAAACTTTTTTTAATTGTTGTGCAAGCTCTGATTAGAATCCTGTGAACTTGCATTTTCCTCACAAAAGTAACTGCTGAGTCACTTTTGTGTATTATGCCCAGTTTCCCACTTAGTAACTTGTAATTTAAATGTGCAAGAGGCCTCGACTGAGTATTTTTGAGGCAGGGTTGACTTAAGCAGCATGAAAGCTCTATCCAGGTTGGTTGTTGTTGCCTTCAAGAATACATTCTATCCAGGTTGTTTGATTTGTGACAGCACTTTCAGTGATTATAAATACAAAATATACATGTGAAAGATGCCTTAAGTTTCTGATCATTCTGACTGGAGAGAAAAAAATGTGGTAGGTCTATCCATACATTAATAATAAAATAATAATGTGCTGTCAAGTCAGTTCTGACTTATGATGAGGCACAGTATTCAGAACTGGTTTACCATTCCCATTTTTGGGGAGTACCCCAAAACGGTGCAACTTGCTCAAGGCTACAGTGGCTGGCTCTTCTCCTAGGACAAAGAGCAGAGAACCAAACTTCCAATTAATACCTAACTCATTGAGTCATCCAGCCAATGTGTTACCCAAACATTAGTAAAAGGTATATAATGGAGAGATTGTTTTGATATCTATTTTTGTCCTAAATTGATTTTTTTAGTGCTTGATGATGTGTGAAGAAAATGCAGTATCACCAAGAGACACTGATAGAAGCATTGCATGGCTTCTTTCTGAGAAAACAGGAGTTGCTCCTCATCCCAGTGTGATTGGATTAATGAGTATAGTTTTAGCCAGTGGAATTCCATTTATTCTTCCCCACATAAGTTATGGCACTTACAGAAAAGAAATAAAGGGTCACACTTAGGGACAGCATTTGGCATCCCTCTGCCATCTAAAATTTGATTGTTTCCCTAGAACATAGCCCATCTCTGCTGATCTGCACCATGTCTCTTTCCCAGTTCCATACATAACATTCTCAGTAGTTGTAGACCATTATTCCTGATTATTACCCTTCTCCGTTGCTGCTGTCATTCAGTGATCACTTATCAGGCCAATGCTATATTGTCTCCCCCACCTCACCCGCCACCCCAGGGAAGAAAGGAAATTAGGCAGAGATGTACAGGGCCTACATTTGCTTTTGCTTTTTATTATCAACAATTAATTAATGGTACACTCTTGGAAAACTATATGCACATGTAGAAATATTTCTCCTTTTAAATAGAAGCATTCATTTTAACCACATATAAATAAATCTGAAAACCCTGGAACATAATTTATGATGGTTAATGTTCACAAACATATTTGAACACAAAAGTAAACAAAAGACAAAAAACAAAAACACAGTCAACATGCAATTGATAACCGCAGCTGATACCATTGCATGAAGTCTGTCTCTCTAAATGTAGAGAAACATAGCCAGTGAGAACCACAGGTTCTCCATAAAGACACACCATAAAGACTACAAGGAGAGAAAACATTATTTATACGTCTAACTAGAGTAGACAAGTTTGTATCAATATTAACACTATACAATTGAGTCACAGAACACAGTTGTAGAAAGACACAGAAAAGATGTTAAAGCATACCTGTTGACATAACTAATATCTAGGTTCTTGTGCCTTTAAAAATAAATGTTTAAAAAATCCTAACAAGGGATGCCTAAAAACAGCGTGGACAATTTCATTCTCATTTTCTGACTGAATTCAACCCATTCACCAGAAAGAGATGATAAATTCCAGTCTGGGGTCATTTTGGACACAGAATAAGTTTACCTGTAAACATCCCCTGCACATCAATTACATAAGGATGGTAAATTTGCAGAAACTGCAATAAAAAATGGGCAGGGACATAGATGAAAAAATGAATCAGTCCTAATAATGACAATAAGAGATCTGGTAACATTTAACGGTTGAGGCCAATTCACATTCTTGTTTTCTTACAGGGCAGTATGGGTGGCCCAAGAGCCAATTCATACATACAACAGGTGATTAATGTGTGCTTCATGCCAGACAGTTGAACATGTAAAACAACTATTATGGTATGTGTGTGTGTGCACATGATAGAAACAGTCTACCTGTTGAATCTTTAGCAGCCCAATCACACACACAAGTCATCTCTGGATATTATTGTCAAAAGGTAATTTACTCTAGCACACAAAGAGCAATCCATAGAACTTGTGATTTCCATGAGGACTGGTGTCTTGTGTGGCCTAAAAAAGATTGTGGAAAGCATTCAAAATGTGCTCTGCTATGTAGAAACCCCAAAATAATTAGTAAGCAGTAACTCCTTCCCTGAAGACCTTCTGAATAAATATGATAGAACTGCACTGCTAAGAGTCAGTAATTTCCCCCTAATGTAGCATAAAACATATCCACCAAATTCTGTAATTTATTAATTGTCCACATTGATTTTATGCTAGTGAAGTTGTTAAATTTGATACTAAAGCACAGCTGTGAAGTACCTTTACCAGTGTCAGAGGTGCATGGAGACTCTGTTCTGCTATGTAGCACAACTTGGTCACACAGCAGCTAACACATCAAGACAGGTTCTAACTGGTAATCTTATAGCATCTCAAAAGTTACAGCTATAATGGGATACTTGGTGGTGGGGGGAAAAAAAACCTCTTTACACATCCTGGGCCTCTTTCTTTATGTGTTGCAAGGCTCAAGTCTGCCACAAAAAACAAGGAAGGGCCTCAACTTAAGCCTTGTAGTTGTTGGAAACACCACGAATAATTGTTTAAAAAAAACACTTTTTTTAAAAAGAGAGGTACTGTGCCGCCCACCAGTATAAAGCAGATACCTTCGGAGGTGCAATTAGGCAGGGACCCTGTTAAACTGGAAATGTGGGCCGGAGGGGTTTGTCGGTCCCGTCGGAAACAGGAGAGATAGCCAGCCACGCTTGAAGCCCATCAGCTCTTAAGAGATACCCTGGACAAGGAAGCCGGGGAAGGGGAGAAATACACTTTGCAGCAGCGACAAGAACGACAAAAACAACACTGGCAGCTTGTTGACAGTTTTCTCCAGGTGAGAGGGGCTGCCACAGGAGGGGGGGAGCCGCAATGCAGCATCTCCTGAGGCAAGGTTCTCTGGCAAGTCACCACCGCCATGCGGCAGCTTCTTCTTCGGGTGCTTTTCACTGGTGTGTGAAGGGGCCGCCAAACGCTTCCTCCCTCCTCCTCACAAGGCTTAGCTGCAGAGGGAGGCCTGAGGCGCGGCTGGCCAGCGTCCGTGGGTGAAGAGGCGCGCCTCGCCTAGGCCTCAGCTGAGGCCGCGTCGGCGGCAGCAGGCGAGCACGGGAGTCCCTGCAGGGGGCGCCAAGCTGCCTTCAGCCCCTGGCGG